GAAGCTAACAAACTAAGTAAAACTACAAGGCTGATGTTTGAAAAAGTCAATGTTTGAAAAAAAAAACAAACCCCAAACCTCCAATAAACCCACTACCAACTGCCAAAACAAAAGGCAAAACAGGAATCTGAAGCTGAATTAATCTGTCCATAGCTAGGTCTCATTTCAAGGAAGCTAAGTGTGCCTGAGTATACCAAGTGAAACACAGTTATCATGCTCAGGTCAGCACAATTAGATGTGAGATCGTCTGCAAGCCTCAACAGCAGTAATTTCTGTTCTATGAAGATATCAGGGTGGAGTTAATGTATCAGAGACATCACTTTTCATTTGCAAATGGCACAATCTTCCCATATAACCAGCTTCAGTCAGTCTGCCAGTGTTACAAACTGCTCCTTTGCAAGCAAGCTGTAACGAGAGGACTCCTGCATCAAGGACACAGGAATCCAGGGTCCCCGTTGTACTGCACCACCTGTAATGCAAACAGAACAAACAGAAGAGGCAGCTCGAAGATACTGTAGAGACTGAGGACAGGTACAGATACTGCAGGAGCATTCAGACATACAAAGTTTTCAAGTGACCTAAAATTTCAGCTTGATTAGTAGATTTTCTCCAACTATGTAACTCAGTGCAGTCATTTGTCACTGAGCTCTGGGGAGCCGTCCAGAGGGAAACAAGAACTGTTTCCCCGCTGCAGCCTGTCACTTGGGCAGTCAGCATCTCTCAGCACTTGCACTGTTGTATAAATTACATCCCTCCCAACTTGGTCAAGTATGACCATCATTCAGCACATATGTAATCTTCGCTATTTTATTGTCTCATTGATGGAAGAATTAGCTGCACAGTGGGAAACACATTAAGAAAGGACTACCAATTATTTTGCCTGTGTTACTAACTTCTTTAATCCCCTTTAATCTCTTCTAAGGGGGGGGATTCATATCTACTCAAATAATTTCACAGGAGACATATATAGCATAACAGGAGCCCTACATACCAGGGAAAACAAAAAACCCAGCTACTGGTCCTTCAGAGTATCAAACACACCAGCCATTGCTGGAGAACGGATCATAATTTGCAAACAGTATGCAACAGCACTGTCCAAGTCCACCCCAGTTCCTCGATCCATTCAGTTGGGAAGGTCATCATCATCTAGGTCATAACCTCTGTTTCTCCAATGAGGAGCCAACCACAGCCTAACAATAGGAACCTAGTTTTGTTCTAAGCACCTTGTGGTGTTCCCATCTGCCCAGAAAGAATCTGTTTATCCATTTCAGAAGCTGGTATCAAATGTGGTGAGGCTATTCAAAACCTTTTCCTGGTTTGGAGATGTAATTTGTGGATCTTGAAGCCACAGGAACTATGGTACAGGATCCTCAATTCACATTACAGGAAAACCATAAAGAGATAAAACTTTTTCATCTGTTTCTTGTGGGTTTTGTTTTTTTCCTATATTGACATAGTGAACGGAAGCTGCTGATCACTTTTGCAGCTGAGGTGGAGGTGGGGGTTGGCGGGAAAGAAAGGTAAGATTAAACCCAGAGAACCTAGAGGTGATGTAAGTGGTATGGGAATTACCAAGGCAGTGCCATGTATAATCATAGCTCCTGATAAATGAACTTAGAATGTGGAGCAATTTTTGCATTGGTTGTTGCTGGTCTCCCGACTTTCAGAAATTATTTACCCAATCCTTCTTTCTTCTCTGGCTTATCTAAACAGCCTTGTCTTTTCCATAATATGTGCCCTACTGCAGTCTTCTCAGCGTCCTGCTTCAAGTTGGTATTACTGCAATGAACACTGGGACTAGCCTTCAGTTACCACTCACATTTGACTAGAGCATTAATATAGCACTCCATGAGTTTGGTCAAGCTGCTCATGTCAGCATTAAAATGTATATTCTTTAAATGACACAGTTTTTAGTCACTTCTCAGTGCAATTCCAGAAGTTTCTAATATACAATACCTTAGGTGTTGTTAAAAAGTGGCTTACATTTCAGACACTTGCTATGCAACAAAAAATGAATTAGATCTGTTAAGGCACTTTATTATGTTCACTTTGACCCATATCAGTGAACATATACTGACTTTGTGATTAAAGTCTAAGATGTTTTCTGTAGTTGGTGATTAGAGAAAGCCTGAGTGCAGCATAGGAAGCTCCACCTGAACATAAGGAAGAACTTCTTTACTGTGAGGGTAACTGAGCACTGGAACAGGTTGCCCAGAGAGGTTGTGGAATCTCCCTCCCTGGAGATATTAAAAAATCATCTGGACAAAATCCTGGTTCATGTGCTCTAGAAGTCCCTGCTTGAGTAGCGTGGTTGGACTAGATGGCCTTCAGAGGTCCCTTCCAACCTCAACCAATCTGTGATTCTGTGATTTTAGAGACACTTGGGAGAACAGATGTTTGTAAAGATAAATAATCCATTGTGGGCAGTTTAAAGCAAAACCACATATAATAATCCACCTGTTGCAAATGGATCCATCAACACATGTAAGAATCTTTAGTATTTTAACCAAAATCTATCAGATTTAATCAAAGTCATGGAAGAGGGTCATACACAGAACACACAGAAATTCTTCACTAAGTTACAAGCAAGTCTTCTTTCAACAAAAACTCATCAACTAGAATATTTCTGTATCTCACTACCTGTGTATGCAGGAATTCATACTCTTCTAATCTTAAGACTTACCATGAGGCAATAAGAAATACTTTATCAGGTCAGCACCTGTGCAGATCTACACAACATGAATAAGAACATGCTTTGAAATAAAGCTCCATGGTCTAAAATCTTAATTCTGACTGGAGACAAACAATTACAAATTTGTCTCTAGCTCACCAGTGCGCAGTAACCATAGAGCAGCTGAGGAGGGTAAACCCCCGGGGACTATGAGGTTTTTCAGTCAATGGTGGCTACATTGTTTTCACTGAGAGTGACTAGGGATAACATTGTTTTCCAGAAATTCACAAAAATGTTACCCCCAAAGCTAGTTTTTCCTGGTTGAAAAAATAATATAAACAGCATCTTTATGATGCTTATGCAATTTTGTGAAATGCTTAAGATAATGACTCTGAGCTTGATTCAGGATTTAGAACAGAATATTACTATATTCCAGTGCAGACAAACACAAGCTGATTTGGGACTCTTCATAAAAATAGTACTATTTATACACTTAACTGCCTCTGTGATTTAACAGTAGAGCCACTCACCTCATATGCAAAACCATACCATTATGACTGTGGCATCAATTCATTAATCAAAGTGACAGAGGGTCTCACGATCAAACGAGAGAGGTTCCGGTACTTCTTATGACAGCAGTGCTTGTGATACAGCCATACTGGATCCATTTGTGATTGAACTGGAAACCAGCTATTTTCTATACTCAACGGAATTCTGATTTATGATGTGCTTGAAATTACTGCGGATTTTTATTAAAGACAAACACTTGGCAGTAAGGTACCATACTTACCTGTAATTTAGTTATGTAACAGTAGTATCCTCTACAGACCCCACATCCTTTGGGGTTTTTTGTTTTTCAGATATGCAACTTTCAGAGCCAACTTGGCATTTTTTAAGAGTTTGGCCTTTTTCCTGAGGCCCTAAGCAAACCTCAAGCCATGAAGGAGCAGGGAATTTATACAGGCCTGCACAGACTCAATCAGCAGTTTCCTTTCCACTGACATCCACAGGAAGCCAGCATGTATGGAAAGATGGGGGCATGCAGACATCAACAATTACAGATAGGCCACTTTTCCCACATTTGGAAATGAACAGCTCAAGGCTACCCATTTAGTTAGTGGCTTTAATGCATGGGAAACCTCTACTAGCTGGCAGATTTTCTCTTTGAAAAGATTATTAATTTATTCTATTACTCAGCTTACGCAATGATAAAGTAAAGCTGCAAGATGACAAAAAAGGGCCAAAGAAAATGACATTTTAGGTGAAGCTGTAATGTTCAAAGGCGATAACATTCCTAGTTTGTATGTGTACCACTTTAAAATATGCTTCATGCCTCAAATATTTTAGGTATACCCATAGACCCAGCCACTAAAATAAAACTTAGAAGAATGACACACAAACTCACAGAGACTTATACATCCACTTAACTAACTTACACATTCTGAAGATGATATGATCTCCTCTAAAAATAAGAAATTTATGTTCCAAGACTGCAGCCCTCTGGTTAATGCATTTCACTTGTGCATTTGTATCCTGTTTATAGAGATTTATTTCTGACTCAGCCTTTAGAAACACATCCCCTGGTACCAACTATTCTGGCTGAGGATTGCTTACAGGACAAAAAATACTGACTCAGAATCTATCTAGAAAAAGAAACTGCAAATTTAGGGGACCAAGATACAAAGAGGTGACATACCCTTCCTCAATTGTAACAGAATTCATGATGATGCAGTTTGTTATCTTAACTTTGTCTTTTATGGTACACATGCTGCCGATGATGGAGTGTTTGATGGATGTCTTCTCCCCAACTTGTGTGGATGACCCAATGATGCTGTCTGATCCAACCTAGGGAAGAGAGGAACAGAAATTGGCAACAGTACCTAGAGCTCTCTGATATGTGTTCTCCGTACATGTATTCCAAACAGCTTGTCTCATACACCCATCAACAAAGTGTGCCCTACTCTACCCTTAGAGACCCTTGGCAGAGGAAAGACCTAAAAATCTGGGGCCTATCCCATAGGCAGAGTGCTGCACAGTCTTCCCAAGGTCCATTAGCTCAGTAAAACTACATTAGCTGGTCCGTCTCTGCTGGCCTTAAGCAGCAAGGTAAGCACAGTAAGAATAGTCCTGCTGGCAGTCACTGGGGTTTGCCCAGTGAGACCTGTGAAAAGAAGGCTTGAAGTTGGTATTCAAAGTGTTTTAGCAAGAAGCAGAGCTAAAACACTGACCCCTTCTGAGTCTGGTGACTTTGGGAGGCAAACTGCTCACTTACCATGAACTGCCATTAGGGAACAAGAGACTGCAGTGTCTGACTTGGAGGTAAGGTAGAATTTTTACCAAATATTTTTAAAGAGAAAGACTGAAATGCAGGGACACGTGGGCAAGCCTACGAGGAGACTCTAGGCTGTATCACCTACATTGTAATTCCATACTTCAGAACTCAGCTTCACTTCCAGCAGTGGGACTGAATTTTAGGAAGCAGTTCTTGAAACAAAGGCCACACAGACTGTATTGAAATAGCAGAGATGGGGAAAGGGAACACTTACCATGCCTCTGTCAGTGATCTGTGCAGATCCATGAACCAGTGGCTCTTCCAGACCCAGATGAAGCAACAGCTTGGGAACCTGGATGGAAAAACCCACAAATTAACATGCACACACATTACATAAACAGTTCAAAGATGGCTTTGGTTTCCAATGCACCTGTTCATCTACCATAGACATTTTAACTTATAGGAAAATGTAGGTTTCTGCATGTTAAATCTGCAACCAGATATATGTATGATTTATCATCTCTCCCTTTGGTAAAGGAGACAGGTACACTTGCACTGCAGTGCACTGCATGTCTCCTCTCAACTCAGCTTCCCATCTGTGGAGAAGCAGTGGATCACCATCAGCAAGCAGGCTGGCTCCAGCAGAACACAGTGACATCCTGTATATTACTACAATGCCCAGCATCTGTAATTTCAAATGTAGCTCAAAGTGTTTCACACCATTCAGTAATGCAAGACAGGTGAGCAAGTAATATCAAATACAAACCAGTAAACTGGCATTAAAAGATGACTACGTTCAGCCCACTCAGTAAGGTACCATGCTGAGGATACAGGGCCACAAAAAGTATTTCAGAAGTTTAAGGAGAAAGAAACTGAAGTTGATCAAGTGACTATTCCAGATGGTAGAAAGCTGCACAAGAAAAGGTTTTTGACAGAGAGAAGGCAGGTGATAGATAAGCACACTAAGCAGAAATGGTAATAGAGAGAGACACAGTCTGTGAGGTAGCCAAAGAACAAATCCATGGAGAGCAATTCTGAACTAGCTCCTGAAAAGAAAGGGGAGCCAGTGTTGTAGGAGGCTGAGATATCACTCCATCGTTCCTCCTTTTCTGGGTGAAAGAGCAGCCTGAGGTATTCTGCATCTCCTGGCATCAGGCTGGGGCCAAGGTCACACACCACAGAAGAGGTGATGACAGCACAGATGGGGATATCAGAGGAGCTGGAAGTCTCACAGCAATGCACAGACATGGTGCTGTACAGAGTTACTTGCAGCAGTGATGCAATGTGTGATGCATCTTGGTAGGACAGAGACAGCAGTCAAAGAAACACGGGAGATACAGAAGGAGGCAGAGTGATGCATGAGTGCTAAGAGGTCTGTGTCATGGCAAATCATATGCCTGAGTGAGAGGCAGCGTGTGCCAGGGCTGGTGTGGAGCTCCACACATGGTGTTTGGCCAGCCAGGATGCCTACACTGACTGTCCATCTGGGAGGTCAACTGGAGTCTCAGCACAGTGATGGTGTAACTGGGTTTGCCTAAGGGAAGGAAACAGCACACATTAAGTCTCTCTTTTCTCTACCCAGGCACCTATTTTTACAAAACTCTTAGGAAAGTTTATCTTTGAGATCTCTACTGCTCTGATAAATTTGGCTGAGAGTTGCCAGCAATTTCCAAAGCTGCTATGAAGGAGCTGCCATACAGAATGATTGTGTAAAATGACTTCCTTAGAAAGCTGGGATAACAAGAGCTGATGGCTAGGGAGTGAACCTCCAGAAGCAGATCCCACAGATCTGAAGAAGTTTGGATCAGATCAGAAAAAAATATCTCAAGATCTCAAATGAGATGATACTTGCAGGAAATTGTCTGGGTATTCATAATATGACCAGCCCATTTCCCTTCCAGCATGCAAGGATGGATAAATAGTGCTGTTTTTCATATGATAAGAATTTTCACAGTTGCTGCTTCATTCAAATGGGTGAGATGAGCTCAGATCTCTGAGCTGTCATTTCAGGCTGCCTGTTGTCCCCAGTAGACATTTCCATATCTGTAGCTCTTTACATCTTGAAGATGGTTCTTCCCACTAGACTTGTGTTTTCTTTGTTTTTTTTAAAAAACAAGAGTAGGTTAGATCCTTCAGTCCAATGTGCAGGCCATACAGAAAACCATCAGCTTACCAGAACACCACAAACTAGATGATGCTGGCTTTATGAAGGGACGTTGTCCTCACCTGACACATAGCTGGCCAGCCACAGCAGATAGATCCAAGAGAGGAACACACACCAAAGCATACCTACAGCGTAGGTTGGAAAGATTCCTACTGTCCAGTGTTGCTCTGTGGAAAGGGAAAGAAACGAGGAAAGGCTCTTGCCCTTCTCAGTGGAAAGGAGGTGTGGTGAAATAAATAGAGGATTTTACTGGCCAGAGCAAAACCCTTATTAGAATCAGTCAAAGGTAGTGCAGCCTGAGGGGTGACCCAAGAAAGCTACCAGCTCAAGCATTTTGCTCTGCAAAGGGAGGTTAGATAGGGGGCAGGAGTCAGAGGGAGTGCCTGGGTCAAGGGAAGGTTTAAGATGTGTTTGGATTTAATTCATCTTACAAAGAAACTATTTCCTGCTATTGAAGATAACTCCCTCCTGAACCCACCTGCCCACACACAGGCTGCAGGCATCCAGAAACCCAGCTGGAAGTGAAATGATGTGAGTAAAGTGTTTCCTCGACAGAAGGGCAATGGGTTATGATGCCATTCCTTACCAGGGCTACTGGACTGGTCTACCACTGCTCCATGAGTCTGTCCTCTTGGACAGGAAAGTTATAGGTCCTGACTTGGCAGCCAGAGAATCTGAGTCTGGTCTGTGAAGACCAAGGCAAGAGCAAACAAGACACCAAAGGTCTTCCTTAGAGACCAACAAAACAGGTAAAAAAACAGCATATAAAATTAAATGTGTATCTTTTACGAGGAATATCAAGAGAAACAATATGCAGTGGCACTGAAAATAGGAACTCCTTTTCTCACAACCCCTCATTAAGTTCCATTTTATGTTTTACCTTCAAATAGTTTCCTTAGAAATTTTAGCATTCTGGAAAAGTTAAAAATTCAAAGAAAATCTTTTCCAGCGTTGAAGGCCCCAATGTGATTTCAAAACACTAATTCTATATACCACCCAGGAGCAAACACATTTCCTGAACTGACCAAAATGTAGAATATTTAGGTTAAAAAAAGAAAAAACAAAACACAACACAAAAAAACCCACATGGAGTCTGACTGGCTCAACTCAATAACTTTTTACTGAAGTGGCTGCTGCCAAATGTACACGCACACTTCCCCTAGCAAGTGGTGTTCTCCTTTAACCCTTCGGGCACACTTGTTTCTGATATTCTGGGGGAAAGGTTTCCCTTTCTGACAGAAGTGTTGCCTTCCTCCTTTCTTCCTCATGTCCCTAACTCCAAAACAAATCATGTTATTGCTGTGCTCCTCTACAAGCACCAAGGAGAAAGAGCTCCAGTGTGTGAACTCACTCTGACAAGCAATTTTAATTTGCATAAATTCATCCATTAATTTTTAGTAAAAAGAAATCAACTCAATATGAAAGCAAAGACAAGGCAGTGACCACTTCTAAGATTCTCAATACAACTTTACTGCTCTCCCAGCCCCACTTCCAGAAATCTTGAGTCTTTCCCCACTGCACTCCCTATCGGTCTTTCGAAACTACAGGAAATTCTCCACTCCTGATAGCATGAAGTTCATTACAAGCAGAGCGATGTGAGAACTTGTACACTGCATCACACAGTGTAGTTAAAAAAAAAAAAAAATAAAAGCTTTTAATCATTAGCTAGTACAGGAGTTCTCTAACCCTCCCCTGTGATCTTTTATTTTATGAATTCTCAGTAGTGTGAAAGTGAAAGCTGCAACAGATCAACATTTCACTTCTGTATTTACCTGGAGTGCCACTGTAGTGAAACCTGTTCATAAAATAATTCTTTCATAACAGAAAGCATTAGGCAATTTGGGTATATGGGTAGTTTAAGTCTTTTTGCAAATCATTAATAACCTTTGTCATTATCACTTAGATAAACATCTGTTAGGAAGAGTCCAGTCAGAACTGATCTTGCCTTTAGGGCATGGAGGACATTGATCAGATGAGCTATCAAAGCTACTTCCAGCCTTATTTTCCACACTTCTTGGCTCTTTGGCAGCAGCTCTTGCCACCCCTAAAAACCAGAAGAGCGTGTGGGGTGCGGGTTTTCTTAGCTAAATCAAAGCTATGGAGTAAATTAGTGACAGAACTGTTTCCTGGCTTCGCGTACCTATCCAGCAACCAGTAGGGTGATATGCCTAGATAACATGGCACTTGTTCAATTCCCACACACTCCTCAGCTGTATTGCAGGGAGCCATTCCTGGAGGCTAAAATGTCCCATAAACTACTGCTGTATTCCCACGTGGTAGTTCTGTATTTTTCTCACCTGTCGATTAGCTTCAATATACAACCCAAGAGTATTCACTCGGAAGCACAGTCCCTCTTTCATTATATGTACGTAGCAGCGCACTTTTCCTTCATGGAGAGTTTCATTCATATCTCCTCTGTGATCATTCCAACAAGAGTTATCTGGAGCAGGTTTCAGCAAGCTATTATCTTCCTTTATGAAACTATAAATGTCTGGAGAACACACACATGCATGAAGTTAGACAGGATTTAATAAAATACTTTCTGAAGAGGAATACTATTAAAATACTGTTGGTGAAGGGAAATCTTTGCCTCACATCATCTGAATGGCTAGATACTTAGCAATCATTAACAGATTTTATCACGTGTAGTGAGTAAGTGCTTATTTTTATTCTGCAGGTGGGAATCAAGGGATCAGGACAGATGCAATGTTTTGCCCAAGGTCACACAAGGAGACAGTGGAAATGCTAAAAATAAATTCCAAGATCTGAGATCCTGTCCAGTTCCCAGTGCAGGGTGTCTAAGGCTTAGTCTGTTGCCCTCTGCAATTTTAGGAATTCCCTCCTAAAATTACATTTTTAAAAATGCATTTACCTACACTGTATTCCAGAAGAAAAAATACAGAGCACCTAGCTGATTTGCAACAAAATAAGGGAGGACAAAAATATTTATATAATGTACAACACTGTTAGAAAAATAAATCTACTAGTATCTTTGCTATCATGAAGTATAAGAGAAAAAAAAAAACCCAAACAAATCCCCAAAACAGTGTTTCAGGCTAATTCTGTACTCTACTCAGCAATTCAGCTGTAGCATACAAGCTTTAAAAACTTCATAAAATCTTTGATACTTGTACTGACCTAGGGATGCTTGTTCTTTTTTCTTTTGGTCCTCTTCTCTGTTGTCTAGTCCTTGCTGCAATGATGTAGGAGAAGAGAACTGCTTCCTAACCAGATATGGAATCAGTTCACTTCGGAGAGATGTGATTGTCCTGGGGAAGGAGACGCACACATGAAGTCCATGGATGTTAAAACTTACATGCCTTCATTTTCTTTGCATAACATTATCAGATATTTTGCACATTTTTCATGAGGACAAATCAAAATGCCAGGTACTCCAAGACATCTGGTACTAAGACAATGTCCACTAGTCACGTGCTTCCTTAATGCATTAAAATATAAAGGAAGACTCAATATGAGGAAAAAGCTTCATCTTCAGAACTAATTCCCCTATATTTTAACAGAGATGCCTATAATTTAATATGACATCACTCTGCAATTCATGCCTGTGTGCAGACGGAATGCAGAAAGTACCAACGTTGTAATGACAACAACTGAAATCCACTTTATGTGGCTTAAAAAAATGGCATCAATTGGCAGGAAAAGAGAGAATAAAGTGCCTATAGAGGAAAAACCAAAGCAGCTCCTTTGTGATAAAAATACGGAAATACTCAAGCATATATGAAATATCAGATCCTTAAATTAAAATATTTATGACACAGACATTAATTATGTCCTCCTGTTCACATGAAACTTCAAGAACATTTTAAAGACTCAGTCCTTTAACCAAGAGAAATCAGCACTTTTTAACACGTTTAGGTCCCAAGAGTTTCACGCCCTTTAGGTGCCCCAATCCAAAATACAACAGTGAACAGAAAGCTTCCAAAGCTGGCAACACACCCATCTTCCCTGCATACAGATTTCAACTTTTACTATATTAATCTTGGCACCCCAATACTAGGAGGCAGAGAAATCACATGAGGGGTTTGTGATAAAGCACAGACTTGAACCCAAGCTACCTGTGCCTTAAACAAGGACCCTGATGACTTGATTATCTTTCCTCTTCCATTGATTTATACATTACAATGAATCAAGAAAAACCCCTCCCCAACAGACAAATATCAATGTAGGAAGTCTACTGTACATGAGATTACAAATCTGGTAATTTTGACTACTAGAAGATAATTTTATTTTTCAATAAAGTATTCGGAAAAAAACCCCAAATAAACAGTTTTAACAATTGGAATGCATAAGATACAGCCTTAAAAGAGCTTTATTGTTGTTGTTTCATTATTTTAACAATCTGCGTTTAGTTACTGAATTGTGGATTATTTAAAGTAGTGCTTGGGAAAATCATGCAGAAAATGAACTCAAACTTGGCATGTATAAGAGGAAGTGCTAAACTTCAGAGGAACGACTGGGAGAATTAACACAGAGAGATTGGCCAGAGGAACTCAACAAATGATAATCCACAAAGAAACAGGAGTTATTTAGAATGGAAGACAGCAAAACTGGGAACTAACTATAGGGGTTAAATTAAAAAGGGAAAGTATTAGAATGAGTATCCTGAAAGTGATTTTGGTTGGCAAAATCTCTAGTAAAGGGGATCATAAACAGCTCAAACTTTAGCAAACATGCAGCTCATAACTCGCCCAGGCCCCTGTTCAGGTCAATGATATTGAAGCAGACCTAAGGACCAAAACAGTCTTTCCTGTCTCTAACTGATGGGAAGATTCAGATGTGATTGCCAATTCAGCCTTACAAACAAATACAGTGTTTTCCTTTTTCTTGACAAACTTTTCTTTCAGTCCTCAACTGTGGGTTGTGTCATGTCCTCTGTCCTGCAGTGGGATGATCTAACCCACCTCAGATCTGAAACTGTGCTTTCATTTTTTATTACAGATAAGGAAAAGCTCTAGTCTTCAGTCTCTCCTCCTTGAAAATAAGATTACAATTACCTTCAGATAGCTGTATTTCAGGAACTAATGAAGCAAAACACTTCATTCTTTAATCACCAAATTTCTCCCTGCTAACCATTTACAGGCGCGCTCTGCCATGGCTGCCCTGGCCCTGCGCTCCGACACACGTGTGGCTGTGCAGATGGACAGTTTACTAGCTCAGAATGTTTGCCTGCAGCTGTGCCATTCAGCAATGATTTCCTGCTTGGGTTTTATACTCCATCCAAAACCCACAATCCTGTGTTTCCCTCAGAGGCTGGCCATGGCATTTATAAGATATATTACCTATAAAATATCCAAGTATTTGGCAGTCTTAAATAGTCTGATGCAGAGGACAACACAACATGGTAGGAAATGAAAGCAGTGGAAAGGGGGAAAGACAAAGTTTTGCCTAATTTTTGATGGTTTACTCTTTCTTGGCCAAACTCCTGAAGCTTTCCTGCAATTCTATGAAGTGCTAGCCACATTCCTTCAGCAAAGGTGGAGTAAATCTCCAGGTCATCCATAAGATGTGGCTCAGAAACACACCCTTCTTACTGGAAAAGGAAAAACAGGAAGGTTTGCCTTTGCTTGCTGTTTAAGCAGAATTTACATGTGACATTAAAGGAATTTGCCTTTGGAAAGTATTAAAATATACACAGTAAGGCACTCAGTGACAAAAATTTGGGAATTTTTTGTGACAGATCTTGCAAATGTGGATATATGAAGTGATAGCGTGAGAATATTATCTGACTGTCAACAGCAGGGGAAACCAAACATCTGGCTGGGACTAGGAAAGGAATTTAAATGAAAGGAAGATGAAGACCCTTCATCAAGAGAGAAAAAAATCAGCAGGAGTTTGGAAGAACCAACTAGCTTATAACCTATATTCAAGAGAAAACAAACCAAAAAGGTTTCTGGTATAGTGTGTTAAAAATTCTTACAGTCAAATCTTGAACTACATGTGCCTATATTAAGACAAAATAAGTGTAAGACTGTATACACTGAAGAAAGCGGTCCTTTTTATTTTTTTCAGGCTTTAAAACTTGGCATCACCCTGGTTTCTAAGCTTGTTATTTTCTTTAGCACCAAGAAGAATGAAATACACTGAGACCAACATAAGGAAAAATCTACTATGACCAGGAGAAAGACAGTGGGAAGGTGGGTAGAAGGAGAGAAGGGCACACAAAATTTTGTCAGAAATTCAGTTCTAAGCCAAATCAGAGTAACCATGCTTTGACACCTTACAGGAAAAATCAGATAGTAGAGAGGATAAAAATGAACCTGCTATTGTGAAACATTTGCCAAAATAAACATGCTTTCAGAAATTCTAGCTTAAGTGACGAGCTTCTTTTGTGATCTTTCAGTCCCCAAAATTTGATTCTTGAAGTGATATCTGTCTGTTTTCACTTCAACAGAAAGTAGGAGGATTTTAATTAAACAGCCAAAGATTGAGTGTCATTAAATTGCTGCTTGTAAAGGAAGGGGGGACTAATCCCTGGAGCACCTTATGTGGCTTCAGTCCTGTGAGACCAACAGGAGATGGAAGCAATTTTGAAAGGGGTCGATTCCGATCACATTTTAAGCATATAAAAATTAGGATTATATCTGGGATGGAATCCTCCATTCACAGCAAGTCACAACAAAGGGGGATGCTGGCAGGAGAGTTCATACGCAGGGGAAATGAAGACAACAGGGCAGCTGAAATTCATAGTGCATGTGCAAGAAACAGCTGGGAATTCAAGACAAGATAAGACTTTTAAAAACTAAGGAACCCTCTGTAAAAGTCTACATTAAATGCACCTAATAGGTCAGAGCACACATCAGTCATTTTCAGTCAGTTCTGCAGACTCTCAACGCAGATCTAGGCATTATAAACCTAGAGTGTTATTGACAACTTAAAACGTTAAGGTACAAAAATGGATACTTGATCAAACAACCCTAACTTTACCAAGTACTATCACCACCAGAGAGATCAGTACCATGCCTTTAGAATCCCTTTATCCCTGTGCACTATTCAGTGAGTTTTAACCACAAAGGAAATTAGAACAGTCTGTGATATGGCAGAATTAAGTTTGTATCTATGTATATTACATTATATTGTATTATATTACATTACATTACATACATTACAGCCCACAGAGGGCCAACTTTTACTTGTTGCTGAAATGCAATTGCCTCTGGGATGAAGGGAAGCTTATTGAAACTTTAGTGAGAAATGAAAAACAATGGAGCCAGTTGAAAAACAAGAAGAGTTTTGGAGGAAAAAAACAAATGTTGATCACTTAAACTTAAAAAAAAAATATGTATTTCACAATTATGTTTCAATGAGCTGTGATTCTTGCTCTTAGACATACATACAGCTGGAGACTCCATCTTTCATATGACACAGAAAATAATGGTTCTGACCAATGCTGGTAAAGAAAAAATGTCATCAAATATTTTATAATAATAGAAGAGTCTATTTAAGTCTAGGTGACCTTGCAAAAGTCTAGGTACCAGTAGGTGCTGTTTGGCTTGACCCACAGCAAGAATGGGAGCATCCAAAGCTTTTATTTCCTGCAGCTAGTTCTCACTAGCTTCAGACACCCTGAACACAACTGTCAGTTCCATTTACCGGCTGTCATTCATTTTCATTTTCCATGTTTAATGTTAAACACCATAAAACGGTATTAATGAGTATTAGCATTTTAAAAACCTCCCTGTTTTAGTAATCTGTGATGAAGCATGAAATCTACCATTGCTGTCAGCACCCACCTGTGAAATCTGCTGTTACTCTCCATGGGCTAGTTGCAGGGGGTCTCCTTTGGTATCATTATTAGCACAATCAGCTACATCTACAGGTGCAGATAGTATTTCTGATTCCTCACTACAAACAAGCAGATTATTAGCCCTTTTATACCTACTTTTGCCTTTTTTTTTTTTTTTCAACGGGTTAATGTTAGCTCTTGTATGACTATGCAAGCATACAGTGGGTTGAGTTCTGATTTTAGCTCTATGGCCTTCAACAGAGATTCTTCAGACCACATCAAAAGGAGAACATGAGGCTGTATTTCAGACTGGTGCTCATAATTAACGTTAGAAATGTATACATAAATACAACTAAACAAATCCTAAAGCGCTTACAGTTTTGGCTAAAAAGAAGTTGCATGTTTATGCAGAACAATAAAGATGTTAAGAAAAAGGGAGTGAGAAATAAATAAAAAAAAAAAGAGGGTGTGCTGGAAAAAAGAGAAAAGTTAATTCTGAACCCTGTAGGTGCATAGTTCATGGTT